TAATAAGCATCCTTGGGGGCGGGGGGAAGTACGTTTGGGAGAAATGACCCAAACGTATGCATAAATGAATAAAAGAAAAAAAATAAGCATCCTTATACATAATCTGTGTTTACATCAATTATATCCCCCAAAATATGCATCCATATAAAATTAAGTTAAAATATAAACATTCATAATATATTAATGCTAAATTGTTTTATACAAAAATTTGTGTATGTAATTGCTTAGAAAAGAAATTCTTAGTTTCCTGGTATAGTGAAAATGGACTCTCTGGATTTTTGCATAGTTACTTAACAGTTCCATTTGGATTTTTGTTTTTTGCTTGCTAAAGCCACTGACTGTGCATAAATGTATATGGATGTTTTAGTCCAGTCAGCAACAGAGTTAACACTACTTATTGCTACACAGTAACTAAATGCTTAGAACGTCCATCCACTTGTGTTATTCATATCATAGTATGATAACAGGCCGTTCGTATTTTTCTTGGCAATTACAGGAGCACATAATTGGATGTGAGTGAATTGGAAGAGTCCAACAAGCTCGTAATGTCTTTTCTTCACAGAGAATCTTCGCCACTATTTAATATTGTGGTGTGGAAGAATTCACCACTTCTCGAACATCACTGTGAGGGATCTAATTATCAAAGAGCAACTTTACACCTGCATGTTCCCGGTTGCAGGATTTGGCTCTAGCCAAACTGACTTTTAAATGTATAAATAAGCAGCAGTTTACAGCCGTGTACTGTTAACTCTCTAAATCATATTCAGCAGGACAGGACTCATTGTAGCTTTCCCCCTTGCTTACGTATACATGTTTCTCTGGCAATGAAAAACCTGCCTCTCATGGCCTTTGTTTTTAACTGACAGTTTTAACCTCTTGATAGAGGCAAACCTCAGTGATACTGCAGGCTTGCTTCCAGACTATCACAATAAAGCAAGTCACACAAATTTTTGGATTTCCCAATGCATATAGAAGTTAGGTTTGCATCATACTGTAATTTATTCATTGTACAGTAGAATTATGTCTTTGAAGTGTTCATACTTTAATATGTTATTACCAAAAACGCTAATGATCACCTGAGCCTTGAGCAAGTCATAACTTTTTGCTGATGGAGGGTCTCCTCTCACTGTTAGTGACTGCTGACTGATCAGGGTTGTGGTTGCTGAAAGCTGGGTGGCTCTGGCAGTTTCTTGAAATAAGACAACCATGAAGTCTGCTGTATTGATTGACTCTTCCTTTCACAAAAGGTGTCTCTGTCCCATGTGATACTCTTTGATAGCATTGTACCCACAGTAAAACTTCTTTCAAAATGGGAGTCATTTCAAACCCTGCTGCTCTTAGTCAACTGCGTTTTTGTCATATTCTGAATCCCATGTTGTCATTTCAACAATGTTACTGCATCTTCATCAATAGATTCCATCTCAAGAGACCACTTACTCTGCTCATCCATAAGAAGCAGTAAATCATCCACTAAAGTTTTATCATGAGATTGCAACAATTCAGTCACATCTTCAGCCTCTGCTTAAGCTGTTTTCACCACCTCTGCAGTTACTTCTCCCACCCCTTAGAGTCTCGAACTCCTCGGAGTTACCCATGAGGATTGAAACCCAATTTCTTCCAAACTCCCGTTAATGTTGATGCTTTGACCTACTCCCGTAAATAACGATATTACTGAAGGCATTTGGAGAGAGAGTGAATGCTTTCCAAAGGCTTTCAGTTGTCTTTGCCCAGATCCATCAGAGGACTCACTGTCAATGCCAGCTATGCTCTTAGAAAATGAATCTCTTAACTAATAAAGACCTGGAAATGAAAATACTCCCTAACCCAAGGACTGTAGAATGGTGTCGTGTTACAGGCATGAAAACAACATCATCAGAGCTCTTGAGTGGCCAGGTTCATTGTCATGAAAGGAGTTTTTGTCCTCAACAGCAGGTCTCAGAAACGGGCTTAAAATATTCAATACACTGTGCTGTAAGTAGGTGTGCTTTCTCATTCAGGCTGCATTCTATTTATAGAGCACAGGCAGGGTCAGTATGGTATAGTTCTTAAGGGCCCAAGGTTCTTAGAAGGGGACTTGTGGTGCCAACCCCTTCAAGTCTAGCTTCATATTGACTTAAGTGACCCTAGACAAATTGCTGGAGCACTTCTTTTTTTTTTTTTTTTTTTTTTTTTTTTTTTGTGGTACTGGGGCTGAACTCAGGGCCTACACCTTGAGCCATTCCACCAACCCTTTTTGTGATGTGTTTTTTCAAAATAGGGTCTCTCGAACTATTTGCCTGGGCTGACTTTGAACCAAGATCCTGCTGATCTTGAGTAGCTAGGATTATAGGTGTGAGCCACCAGCACCCAGCTGCTGGAGCACTTTTGTGTAGCCTCTGCCATACTCTGCCCCCAAAATTTTAGTCTCTTCAAACTTTCCAAACTCTGATCTATCTCTTCAGCTTAATAAAGCAATTATTTCTACTCTGAGTGCTATAGCCTAAAAAGTTTTCTTACTATGACATCTGGAGTGTCTTAGGGGCCACAGTCCTTCACTACCTTCTTCTGAAAATAGTTGTTTCATACATTTCATCTAGTTATTCAGCAGAGGGCAGGTCTACTACCACTTATTCCATGTTGGCTGGAAGCAGACATTTTCAGAATGATTTGGCTTTCCTTTTTTTTTAATTCCAAAATGATATTTTTAGTATGGAAATTAGGTTATGTCTCGCTCTGCTCTGAACTTTTCACTGGTTCTTCCTTTCAGTCAGAGAAGTCAAGTACTTACCGTGGGCTACAGGGTTCTGCATGGTCTGATTCCCATTACTTTTCTTCCCTCGCAGTCTACTACTCCTCCCTCAGCATACTTCAATCTAGTCCTGCTGGGCTTCTTGTTATTTCTGGAACTACCAGGCATCCTTCTACCCTAGGTCCTTTGTCCCTTGCTTGGTCCATGCTTTCCTTAGGTGGCTGTGTCAGCCACATGGCCAGCTCCCAAATTGCCCTCAAGCCTTTCAAAAGTCTGCCACCACTGTACCATCTCTGCCCTCCTCCAGTGTCCTTACAGTGCTCTGGTTTTCCTTTCTTCTCCTAGCATGTGGCCTCTCCTGACATGTTACGTTTTCTTTTTAAAACCATTTTGATTAGACTACATTAATAATATTAGGGAGTTCACTGTGATGTCATGGATGTGTATAGTGCACTTTGAACAAGTTCACCCTTCTATTATTTTCCCTTGACTTTCCTCCCTCCCTTTTCAAGAAGTGTTTGGTGGGTTTCATTATGCTGTCTTCACACGTATATGTGTAATATAGTCGATCCTCTCCACCCACATATCTTTTCTTACTTATTTGTTTACTGGCAGCCTTGTCTCTTTAGAACTTAAGGTCTGCAACGTTAGGAATCATCTGTTTTGCTCCCTGTTATGTGGTAGGTGCTCAGTATATCATTTTTTTATTTCATTGGCTGTTTAGTAAATCAAGCATTGAAACTATCAGTGTATTTCTCCTCAAAAAAAATCCTTAAACAACAAAAACTGTTCTCATCAAAACTAAGTTTTCCTACCTCCTTCAGCTATTATTGTCCTTCATTAATTGAGATGCATCTGTATTAAAACCATGTATGGCCTATATTTCTAACCAAATTCACTATAGTTAGAATATTTGTATTCTATAATTGAAAGGTTTAAAGTCTGCCTTAAAGCAACCAAAAATTTCTTCCACAGTACAGTTTTAGCTGTAATGTATTCATTGTTTTCCTCTTAAGGTAAAATACTTATAGTACACAAGTCTCAGATACATTTTAATAGAAACAATTTAACTTTGGCTTTCAGGATTCCAACAAAGACTTTAACGAGTACAGTGTGAAGAGTAGGGACATGGGCAGTAGTGTACTGGCTCACAAGAGCCAACTGCACATCCCTGCCCAATTCCATGTATGGTGATATGTCCATGGTGGGATTGTTCCTACCAGGAAGTCAACAAACACTGCTGCTGCTTCCCACCTCCAAGCCACGTTAGGCGTTTATTAGCACACCTCTGCATTTTAACAGACACCAGTTGGGCTCACTCACATTCCTCCAGAACACTGGTGAATGTCTGAATTCTTTCTTTCTTGAGGTTGACTTCCTTCACAGAAGCCTGGCTGTCTTGGTTACCTCTCAAGCTTTATATACAACCCCATACTCTGACACTGTAAAGAAACACTCTCTGCTGCAGTTTGAAAAATACCAGCGTGGTCTCTTCTCAGATGCCCAAATCTGGGCAGTTAATTCAGGGGTGAGGGTAAGGGGCTAGTAGTGGCTGAGGGGGTCAGACTAAATAAGATTAAGTAAGAATTTACACATCGTGGGCTGGGGATGTATGTAGCTCAGTGGTTGAGTGTTTGCCTGACATGCACCAGGCTCTGGGTTTGAGCCCCAGTACCAGGAAAAAAAATTTATACAACTTATGGTTATATGAATAGGAATCAGTTTCTAAGAAAGGAAAAGAGGACATTGTGAAGCAGGTACTTACTAGACTTGCTAAAGTATAAAATTCAGTTAAATCAGGATACAAAGTAGTTCTGAAACAGCATTAAGTATGTGGAGTTAACTTTCAACATGATCAGAAAATCAGTTTATAATACTTTAAATGAAACAACTACTTTTATTTATCATACATTGAGATTTCACTTGATAATTCTGTCATGCATACAGTATACCTTGAACAAGTTCACCCCTCATTGTAGTCCCATTCTTCCTTCCCTCTCCCTCCTACTTTCAAACCGTTAAAAATCTTTTTTTTTTTTTTTTGTAGTACTGGGGTTTGAACTCAGGGCCTCATTGATTGCTAAGCAGATGCTCTACCAGTTGAGCCACTCCACCAGCCTATTTTTTTGTTGGGTATTTTCAAAATAGGGTCTCACTTTCATTTTGTCCAGGCTGGCTTCAAACCATGAGCCACCTGACAAAACATCTGTTTTTAATATGGTAATGTAAGGCCTCTAACAAGTTTATCAAAATGTGTTTGTTGTTTTTTTAGGATTTGAACTACAGTTCCGATTAGGCCCAACTTTGCAGGGAAAAGCTGTTACTGTGTATACAAATTATCCATTATCTGGAGAAACATTTAATCGAGAAAAATTCTGTTCCCTGGATTGGGAAAATCCAACTGAAAGAGAAGATGATTCTGACAAATACTGTAAACTCAATCTGCAACAGTCTGGATCCTTTCAGTATTACTTTCTTCAAGGGTAAGTCAGGTGTTCTGTATGGGGGAAAAAGTTAAATCATTGTATCAACTGAAGTTGTCTAATTTGTACAAGTTAATATATTGCAGTAACTTGTTTCTCAGGATGCATATAGAGTATGGTTCTCAGTATCTAGGTTATTCTATGGCCTGCTGCAGATTCAAAGTGTTGTGTAATTAAAATACACTCTGCTCTTTCCTTACAATCTAATTATAGGGTGCTCTCTGTGAGTGCACTTGCTATTGCTAATAAACCTCGGTGTATTTATTTTTAATTAAAGCAACATTATTGGATATATAACTGTACAGTAGTTAGGAAAGGGTAAATAGAAATATGCATATTTTAAAATGAGACAGTTAACCTTCTTTTCAGTCAGACTTCAGATGAGGAGTTATTCTTTTCTCTCATTAATTGAAAGGGTTTTGTTGTGTTTTTCCCCTTAGAAATGAGAGAAGTGGTGGCGGTTACATAGTTGTGGATCCTATTTTGCGTGTTGGGGCAGATAATCACGTGTTACCCCTGGACTGTGTTATTCTGCAGACGTTTTTAGCTAAGTGTTTAGGACCCTTTGATGAATGGGAAAGCAGACTTAAGGTTGCAAAAGAATCAGGTAATGTTGGCTTGCTTTCCTTTTAAAAATAAATGTAACTGTCTTCTGTGATGTAGATTTCAAAGGTTTCTCTTCTACTTAATTTTATTTCTTAATATATTTAGCAATATAAATAGAACCATATGAAATTTTTTATACTTGACCATTTTTAATCTGTAAAAATAGCAAGTTATGTTCAACATAATAAATGGAAGAACTCTGTGATAAAATAAGATAGTTGTCACTTCTGAGATTTTTCTTGACATGTGAAAGTTAGTAGTAAAATATGATAATGTGAAGGAAAATGTATTGTTACATATAATTTTAATTAACAAATATTGATTAGCCATTCTCCAGCAGAAGGCTTGTGCTGCCCTACAAAGTAAGAGTAAAATGAAAGCTAGTTGTACTCTTCAGTAAAATAAGAGTAACATTAATCTAATTTCAGGTTAATATAGTATTAAGAAAAGAATAAAAAGTAAGTACTGTGAATACACATACACAAAAGAAGGAGAAAGACATGTATTGACACTCTTGTGTAGGATTTATTTTCTACATATAAATATATCCACTCAACAATTATGAATTGAACCCCACATAATAACTAAGAGCTCTGTGATAGTTTCCAAATGCATGATCTCATTATCCTTGTCTTGTGGATGAGGATGCTGACAGCCTGGGAGATTCAAGTACATTTGCCTAAAGTCTCTTATGGTACATGTAGGATGGGAACCCAAGTCTTTTAGTTTCTTTGCCCTAAGCATTGCCTTCCTATTATAATTACTTAGGAAAGGTGACATTTATATGCTTAGTTTGGAGTTGATCTTGTTTGTTTGTCTGACAGGGGTCATTGTTTTTTCATTTTATAGGGTACAACATGATTCATTTCACCCCACTGCAGACCCTTGGATTATCTAGGTCCTGCTACTCCCTTTCTGACCAGTTAGAATTAAATCCTGACTTTTCAAGGCCTAATAAAAAGTATACCTGGAATGATGTTGGGCAGCTAGTAGAAAAACTGAAAAAGGAGTGGAATATTCTTTGTATTACAGATGTTGTCTACAACCATACTGGTATGAGCTTCATTAATTTTGATAAGAATAGTAAATTCTGTTTATTTCATTCCTTGACATTTTTATTTCATTTTACATTATTAATTTTTTTAAGTGTGTGTGTGTGTGTGTGTGTGTTTCAAGAGCTCAAAACCAATGTAGAAAGTTGGGAAACCACTGATTTGTGTATGTGAATTACAGGAATTCTGACTGTACAAAATTTTTAAAGAAATATCTGCTATTTCAGAGAGTATTTTCCAAGTAACCATAGGCATTATGAAGCCATTTAAGAGCTTATAGAGTTGGTTTATCAATATAAATAATAATCTCCATTTGTAATGAATTTAGGTTTAAAAAACCCAAATAGATACCTTCTAAAATTTAGTGTTTCTGTATGCATCTGGAAACCAAGTTTCAAAATCTATAGTGAAAACTAAATCAGTGCTTCAATAATTTATAATTTGAAAACTTACAGTATTGATATTATTACGAGAACACGATGCACATCGGGTTTCTCACACTACATAATAGCCCTGTGGTAGGTGCACGTTGTAGGAGTTAGAATACAGCTTAGGCAGGTACAAAAAAGAAGCAGAAAATATAGTGACCTAATCAAGGTCCAGACTGTATTTACCTCTCATAGAAGATTAGGAAAGCATTCTAGTACTAGACTAGTTGCTCAGTGGTGATGGGGAGCTGGATTCTTTCTCATGCTATTCTGCTGCCTCCAACACTTTACCTCCATCTTTTAATCAGATATGGCTGCTCCAGCTCCTAAATCATAGACCATCCAGTAGGCATGGGTAAAGGGAAGCCATCCCTTTTAAGGGCATGATCGAGTATATGTATTTCTTCTACTAACATTGCATTAGCTAAGATTTGTCTCTTCTCACACCTGTCTATAAAGGAGACTGGCAATGTTGTCTTTTATTTGCCAGCCATGTGTACAGCTGGACCTAGGGAGTTCTATTACTAAAGGAAAGAAGAATGAAAACTGAGATTGGTAGCAGTCTCTCTGCCTCAAATGCTTCTACATGCTATAAAAGAAGTCAGTTTTGCCATAGCCTTACTTTCTAAGCCTTACTCGGAAAGTGCTGTGAATCATAGTATCCCTTCTTCAATACAAGATTTCATTTTAAAATTTGCTATGCAGGGAGAGTCAGCTTCCAGAATTGGCAGCAAGAGAGCCTCACATAGCCTCCACTCAGTGAAATGCTGAAAATTATCTTAAAAGCATCATTTGCTTAGCCTACTAAGAACATTTAGCATATGGAGAAACATGAAAACCAGCTAATGAGAACGTTCTAAATCTTGGTGCGGGAGGGTAAGGGAGGGTGCAGGGAGAAGGGGGGGAGAAATGGCCCAACATGTATGCACATATGAATAAATAAAAATTAAATTAAAAAATCTTGGTAAGAACAGCAAGAGTCTGTGGCATCACAGCCAAGACCTGCCCAGCAGCTCTGTTGTGAAGTCCTCGCCCAGGTGCTATACTCCTCCAAAATGGAGACTCTGTATCCTCGAATCCTGGTCTGTGGTTCTAGTTTCACTCTTGCAGGGCAGGCTCATATGTTTCTCATTCCCCCAGTCCCATGTTGATTCAAGTTTCATTCTAGATGGCAGTTTCCTTGATCCACCCAGTTCCCATTTGCAGGTGAATGTCCTACTCCAGGATTGGCAAGTCACAGAGTCCAGTCAACCTTGAGCAGGTCTTCCTTCAAATGCTACAGACTTGCTCTTCTTTTGGATGCTTCTCTACATGCTGAATGCCCTAAGGATGAGTTCCAAAGACTTGAAATGATTGTTTTTATAATATTCACCAGTTGGATTGTTTTGCTGGGGAGGATACTTGCTGTTCCTTACTGCACCACTCCAGAAGCCCTAATTAGTTTTTAATTTTGATGTATATCAAAACAGTTTGGAGTTTCTTCTTCCACGTAGAATTAGAAAAAAATACTTTCATTACATAATATTTAGAATTCTTTCATTCAATGATTGATTTTCTTCAATATTGATAAAAGAAACAGTTTCAGGATTTTACCTTAAAAGAAGGAAGATGTGGTAGCACCCCAGCAACTCAAAAGGCTGACGGCGGTAGGATCGCTCAAGCTACTTTATTCAAGTCCAGCCTGGGCGACACAGCAAGGCTTCTCTTATTTTTTAACTTTCCTGTCTTTGTGCATGTGTGGTGCTGGGGATCGATCTCAGGACCACAAGTGTGCTAGATAAGCGTTCTATTCCTGCCTATATCCCCAGACCGGAAAAGTGAAAATCCTAATTGATGTGGTCGTCACTAATTTTATCTTGTAATGGATGCCTTAAGCTTCAGTGCATGGGAGCATTAGTCTAGGGGCGGTATCTTGATGCAGATTTTGAAAATTATCAACTTAACTTCTGCTTTTTGATTGTCCTGTCTTTATCCAAGTGTTTTGCTCATTGTAGGTGTAAGTAAGCACTAAATGAATAAACTACTTGCTAAATAAGTGACAAAACTGTGTGTGCCCAACTGAGAAAACAAGCATGAATACATGCATCTCAGCAGCAGAGCAAAGTGGTTACGATGACAGATTCTGAACAGAGACCTGTCCAGTTGATTCCTAGCCATATGGCTTTTGCTGAGTTATTATCTTTGTGCCTCGGTTCCTCATCTCTTACAGGAACATAGTAGTAAGCTCTCTCTTGTGTGGCAGGAAATTGGGGAATATACACAATTTATTTGAGCTTTAAGAGGAGTGTGTAAGTTTTTGTCATTTAAAAAAATCACATTATCTTTACTGTGATAAGTACTTGGAATACCTTGTGAGTTCCTGAATCTAATTCTGAAATTCACCACACAGATGGTAATCGATATAACTACACCCTTATTCCTTGAGTGTAGTTTTCTTGGCAGCTTCTCAACCTCAACTTTTTACCATCTTACCAAAGCTCCATATTTTATTAATCCTTTACATTATCTGTTGCAAAGGGTTGCCTATGAGAGAACTGATTTTGCTTTTCATCAGGATTTTTTCTAAACCGTATTAAAGTTTAAAAAAAAGTATGATGAAGTAGATTGATACAGAATAGTTATAACCCAAGAAAAAAAATTTTATATGATGGTATCCATTTCAAAATATTAATGTCTGATTTAGAGAAAATGAATGGGAGATGTTTAATATTTTATTTCCCCATTAAGCAACATAGATTACTATCTTCAAGTTAACTCTTAATATTCATGGCAATTACAAGATGTGTGTTTCCTTTTCCTTTAAGCTGCTAATAGTAAGTGGATCCAGGAACACCCAGAGTCAGCGTATAATCTTTGTGAACTCTCCTCACTTAAAACCTGCCTGGTCTTAGACAGAGCACTTTGGCACTTTCTCCTGCGTTGTGGCAGATGGGAGGTACAGAGAAAGAGGAATTCCTGCCTTGATTGAAAATGATCAACATATGAATGTGAGTGTGTATGGAGGAGTACCATAGCAAACCAGGATAACAGAATTTCTAAAGTCTGAATTAAATATGTGGCTGAAAATTTTTTAGAATCTGTAATTACAGTATTTTGTGAAAGATTTTACACATATTTCATGTTCACAATTTTCAGTGCATTCGGAAAATCATGTGGAGGACATTTTCCAAAGTTCATCTCTGGGAATTTTTCCAAGTAGATGTTCACAAATCAGTCGAGCAATTTAGAAGACTTCTCACACAAGGTAAAGGATATACCCAGACTGTCCCTATCAATCTTAAGAAATTTAATATTACTCTTAAAAGGAGAACTTTTTGTTTTAGACTTTTGTCTTCTCAGGTGGTACTGGGGTTTGAACTTAGGGCCTTCACAGTTGCTAGGTAGACGCTCTACCACACTCCCAAACCTTAATTCAGGAATTTTTAAACTAACTTTCCTTCATGTTTCACTTTACCAGGAGCCTCTATCCTTAGTAAGCTATGTTACTTATATGCAATATAAATGTATTCATTGTAAATTTAAAACCCAACAGTTCAAAAACACAATTAAAATACATTATGTACTGAGTGTGTGGCACACTTCTATAATCATAGCTAATCTGGAATGTGAAGCAGGAGAATCTCAGTTTGAGACAAGCTGGGTAACTTAATGAGAACCTGTCTCAAAATAAAATTTTTAAAAGGGCCTGGCAGTATAGCTCAATGAAAAGAGTGCTTGCCTACCACTCATCCCCAGAACCCACAAAAAAAAAAAAAAAAAAAAAAAGAGTGTGACTTCCTCCCCCCCAAAACCCACTTTTTTTTTTTTTTTTTTTTTTTTTGGCAATTCTAGGACTTGACTGCAGGGCCTCACTCTTGCTAAGAAGACACTCTACCCACTTAAAGCCAGTCTAACCAGCCCTGTTTTTGTGTTCTGTATTTTCGAGATAGGTTCCTCATGTTTGCCCTGGCTGGCTTCAAACGGCAATCCTCCTGATTTCTGCTTTCCCAAGTAGCTAGGATTAAGGCGTGAGCCACCCATGCCCAGCCCAAAAACCCACTTTTAAAGGGGAATATAATTGCTTGACTTTAGCTTCTTGTTCAAACTCTTTTTTCCAAAGAAAATTCAAATTTTATTATCGTTTTATATAATTTCCCATATAAATTTAAACACGTAAAGTTTAGATATGAAATTTTATATGGTACAAAACCAAGACTGGTCATTTAAACTGTTTTAATTTATTCTTTTCATTGACAATAGGAATTTGTTACTTCTTTTAATTATTTTCTTTTAAATCCCTGTGTAGCTACATGTTTTTTAGAATAACTGAATTTATTTAACTAGTCTTTGACAGGTTTATTTCCGTTTTTTTCATTGTTTCTTTCAACTGTACATATTTACTGCACAATGCTGGTAGATTGTAGACACTCTTAGGGGTGATTCAGGTGTGAAGCCTTGCTTGTGACACTTAGATTCTTAAGGGCAGCACTGTCTATCCTGTAAGATATTTGTTAGCACCCAGGAAGAAAATGCTTACCACCAAAATCCTTAATGCCCTGAAAAGTGAGAAGTGAAATAAGTGAATGTTGACAAAGGCAGAGAAGTGGGATGAGGTTGAAGGAATCCCTGTGTTTTCTCTTACAATATTCTGTCTTTCTGTGTGTTCTCCCTCCTGTATGTGTGTGAGGGTGTGTGAGTACACAAATGTGTTTTATGAGTATGTGTGCAAGTGTATGTGAATATGTGAGTGTGCATGAATGCCTGTGTGAGTTGTGTGGTGTGCCTGAGTGAGTTTGGTGATACGCAGGAGAGGAGGTAAAAAGGATACTTGTGGCAATAAGTTTATGTTTTATTTCCCTATGAAATTACTTATATCTAAAAATTTAAAATCAGTGAGTTTAAGATCTTTCCAGTGAGGCATGGTGGTACACGCCTGTAATTCAGTTCTACTCAGGAGTGGAGATTGGAGAATCGGGGTTCAAGGCCAGCCCAGGCAAAAGGAGTGAGACCATATTTCAAAACAAGCCATTCATGGTAGTTCATTGCTGTAATCCCAGCTACTTGGGAGGTTGAGGTATTAGGATCACTGTATGAGGGCAGCTGGGGCAAAAGCACAAAACCCTATCTGAAAAATAACCAAAGCAAAAGGACTGGGGTCATTGTTCAAGTGTTAGAGCCACCTGCGCTAGTAACACAAGTGCCCCAGTACTGTGTCCAGTCACTAGTACTGGAAAAAGCAAAAATCATCGTTTCTTTCTTCAGAAAATAGACAAGTAACCAAGTTCTGATCCACAGAAACATCTAGAGATTATTCAGGACCCGGAATACCGACGGCTGGCTGTACTGTAGACATGAATGTCGCACTGGCAAACTTTCATCCTCATAAGTATGTTCTGGATTTGTCCTGGCTAGAGCATGGCTTGAGTTAGAGCACTTACCTAGCAAGTTGCAAACCCCGGTACCCACAAATCTTTTGTGAGTAGTGTGATTGTCATTACTGGTTTATTAAAACCCTTCGTAGAAAATGAAATCAAAGTAATGGGCCATGTACTGCTTTAACACCTGACCTTCCTCCCACTCTTCCTGTGTGCCCTGCCGTCTTCTGTGCATGTGTGAGAAAGTGCTCAGTCATACTGAAGATCCTAACCATTATATTTAGGGTTTCTGTGACCTTTGGTAGAAATGTTAAATGTAGGTTTGTAAACACCAAATAAATTTGTATCACTCTGTCTGCTCTAGCCATGGCCAGCCGCAGTTGAAGAATGCTGCAATTGGTTCTGTAAGAGAATTGAAGAGCTGAATTCAGAAAAGCATCAACTAGTGAACTTGTCATCAGGAACAGGTTTACCACATTTTGAACTGCTGGTTCTGTGTTTTGGTTTTAGTTCTGTTTTGTTGTTGTTATGGATGACCATGTAATATACGTTCGTTTTCCAGGCAGTCAATTGCCTTTTGGGAAACGTGTTTTATGAACGACTGGCTGGCCATGGCCCTAAACTAGGACCTGTCACTAGGAAACATCCCTTGGTGACCAGGTATTCCATTTTTATTTTCTTCTTGTCAATGGATAAAAATTGGAAATTGTATTTAACTTTTCAAATTAAACCTAGTGTCTCCCTTAAGGTAGGAACTTCAGTACATCTCTTAAATTGAAATAGTTTTGATTCCAAAAGTAGGCTTAAACTGGCCCAAAAGACCAAAAATCGTATGTTCTCCCTCATATGTGGACATTAGATCAAGGGCAAACACAACAAGGGGATTGGACTATGAGCACATGATAAAAGCGAGAGCACACAAGGGAGGGGTGAGGATAGGTAAGACACCTAAAAAACTAGCTAGCATTTGTTGCCCTAATGCAGAGAAACTAAAGCAGATACCTTAAAGCAACTGAGGCCAATAGGAAAAGGGGACCAGGAAACTAGAGAAAAGGTTAGATCAAAAAGAATTAACATAGAAGGTAACACCCACGCACAGGAAATCAAAGTGAGTCAATGCCCTGTATAGCTATCCTTATCTCAACAGCAAAACCCTTGTTCCTTCCTATTATTGCTTATTACTCTCTCTACAACAAAATTAGAGATAAGGGCAAAATAGTTTCTGCTGGGTATTGAGGGGGGGGGAGCGGAAGGGGGTGGAGTGGGTGTAAGGGAGGGGGTGGGGGCAGGGGAGAAAATGAACCCAAGCCTTGTATGCACATATGAATAATAAAGAAAAAAATTGAAAAAAAAAGTAGGCTTAATATTACTTAACTTTGTGAGATAAATCTTTTGTTTAGAAAAACTATCAGTATGAACCAGTTGTAGTTATTTTTCTTTAATGTTTTTTGGAGACTACCCTATTTAGTGTCTTAGTGTTGTTTTCTCTTGCTGGAACAGAATGCCTGAGACTGGGTAAATTTATAAAAAACAAGGTTTAATTTAGACCAGCGGTTCTAGAGATGGGAAAGACCTAAGAGCCTGACAGCAGAATCTGCTTCTGCTTTCTGGACGAGCTCTACACTGCATTCGTAGATGGCAGGAAAATGGTGGCAAGTGAGCACATGCAGGAGAGACAAAGCATGAGGAACCCACATTTCTAGGACCCTGCTGTTGTTGACAGCTCCTTCAGTCCCTCAAGAACAAGAGCATATTCATCAGAGAGAGGCATTAATCCGTTCATGAGGCTGCGTTTCCATGTCCCAAAACTCCTACCAGGCCCATACCTCCCAACCACTGGCACATTAAGGACTTAAGTTTCCATGCCAGGCATGGCCATGCATGTCCTAATTCCAGCACTCAGGAAGCAGAGGTAGGAGGGTCATTGAGTTTGAGACCAGCCTGGACTATATAGTGAGGAAGGAAAGGAAGTGGGGTAGAGAAAAGGGAGAGAAGTAGAAAAGGAAGGGAAGGAAGTGAGGAGGGAAGGGAAGGGAAGAAAGGAAGAAGGGAAAGGAGGGACGAAGAGGAGAAAAAGAGGAATTAAGTTCCAACACATGAATTTTTGGGAGACACCCTCAAACTATTACCACTTTAGTCAATTCAGTGTCAGTTAAACTGAACAACCACCTAGCTTCTTACTTGTGCAGCTTAAATTGGGTGATTAGGAGGTGGTAAAAGCCTTTGCAAAAAGTAACATCAGCACTCAGTGATTTTCTTGTAATTTATGAGATTTTAAAAATTATTTTAAAGTGTTTAGTCATAAGCTACAATATTAACTCTCCATTCTTCAGTTCTTGCTAGATTTACTCAGCCCACTGATGATCTTTAACCTGTCATAAAGCTCATTGTCTTCTGTAAATGATATCAGTTGTTTTATTTATCATACTTATTAGGAAAAGGAATTTCTCTGTGTGCATTTAATTTTTATTCTATCTCCCTAGGTATTTTACTTTTCCCATTTTGAAGAAATGGCCTCCTCTACAGAAGAAGCTATGATTCACCTCCCAAACAAAGCTTGCTTTCTGATGGCACATAACGGATGGGTGATGGGAGATGATCCCCTTCGAAACTTTGCTGAGCCAGGTGCCCACCTTTCACTTCTCTATGCACAGCGAAAGGAGAGTTCTTGGGGA